GCAATTCACATCTAGATCATCAATTTTCATCAAGTGATTTTAATTTTCTTCTTAATGACATGCATCAGCAAAATGTCATCCCTTGACATTTGAGCATGATTGTGTAACCTGGGTTTTAACATCCAAGCAATAATAAAAGAAATTAAACGAGAGTTCTTCTTCATACCTCCCGCTAAGAATTTCTCGTAATTGGTGTTCAGAGGGTTCCTTTGGCAATCCCGGAATGTGGTCAGCTCCTCAAAATCCCCAAAGTTGAAAGGTTGGGGTTTCTCCTTTTCGGTGCCGCTCAGACCCGCAGCCGCTTTTATTTCAATTCCACAAAAATTTTCACAAAGATTTTTATGTTCTATGCTTTTCACAATTGTTTTGTAAGCTATCTAAACGTGAACAATTAATTCTACACAATTCTAGACAAAACAAGGCAGCAAAGTAAACAAATTTAAGATCAAACAACTTAAAGGAAGCAAGGATAAGCAACTAGTCGTTTTGCCCTAAGTGGAAGCTTGAAACATATGAAATTTCCAAGCCACTTCCACTAGTACTACACATGAGTGAGCTACCAAGGGTTAGATATACCTGACCAGCTTCTTAATACTCCCTCCAAGCTTTACAAATTGATTTTAAATACAAGATAATTTGCAAAAAATTAAACTACACTACGAAACAATTTGTGGTGGCTTTAGTGACCAATTAGTGACGGATTTGTTGTCCAATTTTTCTAACACTTGTTTAAGTGTTCCAATCCGCCACTAATCCTTGATTATTGTTGCTCCTGGACCCTGCACAAATAACACAACAAAATGATTAATGTAGGCTGCTCACAAGGTTAAGGGAATGATCACTCTTGTGAAGGTAGTTTAGGAAAGTTTTTGTCACTAAACTAGGTCAAATTTAAAAGTCTTTTGTATCCAAATTTTTCCTACTTTTTGTTGAGTCAATATTTGATCCTTAAGCAAGGATTTGAGGCCACTTCCAGCATAGAATGTTTAGTCAAAGAAAACAAGACAAGCAACAAAAGAACAATCTATAAAGCTTATACCAAAAATTGAAGAGTAAGGTGTTTATGACAAGACTCAAAGATATCCAACAATGAAAGCTGAAAATTAAGACTCCAAAGAAAGGCTAGCACTCAGTTAGGAAGGCTCCTAGATAGGCACTAGAGTAGATTAGCAAAACAAAAAAAATTTGAAGGAATTTGAACAAGTACAAACAAAATAGTAGTCCAAAGAAATTTGTAGAATCAAGTGTATTTTCTTGTTTTGTTCTTCTCGGCTTTTGTTTCTCTAATTGTTTTATATATATATATATATATTTTATTCTTTTCTTTTTCTGAATTCAAATTTATATTCCAGAGAAGACACTTGCCCTTTGTTTTCAAATTTTTCACAATTCCAATGTATAGAAACCGAAACTACTAGATTGTCAAATTTCAAGTGAAAAATGGATGAACTAGTGCACTAGTTTTTAGGTTTTTGATTGGATTCTTTGCTCTTTTTTTTTTTATAACTATTTTGAAAGAAAATGCTCTGTATTTTCTCTGTTTTCCAGCCACTAAACTTTTAAAATTTGAATCCAAAAGAAATAGTGCACTAGAAGTAGGATGATTCACTTAAAATTTCAAGTAACACAAAGTTGTTTCAAGAATTTTATAGAAAGTGATTTGAAAACTTAAGTGCACAATGGAAACCTAACACTAAGAAATTTGCTAGAACTAATAGAAAATTATGAACTCAATTAGGTAAAACAAAAAGCACATATAGGTAGGCAAGATTATAAGCAAACCGAGAACAAAAATTTGACAAACAACACAAAAGAAAAACTAGGTTAAACAAGCTATTCAAGGAATTTGCAACATATAAGAACTAAACACAACTTACTAAGACAAAACAAGGATTCAAAAACAAAAATCTAATGCAATGGATGAAGTCTAATCAAGGACACATGCTAGGAAATGAGAGACTCAAACAAATGGACCAAAAAAAATATAAGGAAAACTTATCTCCAAGAAGAACCTTGTTCTTGATACCAAAATTGATGGCAAAAACTAGGAGAAGTGATAGGTGTTCTTCTCCTCGGATTCACCAAAGCTTGGACCTCTTCAATGGAGCTTGAAATCCTAATGTAACACACTTGAAAAAGGAAGATTTTCAGACTAAGGTTACCTAGACTATGGATGGAAGCATCCAAGCTTAAGGAACAAGGGAAAGCTCACTTCAAAAGGTAGGATTAAGGTGAATTCTCCTAGGGTTTTGAAGATGGAACTCTCGGTGACTTTTTTTTGGAAGAAACTTGGAAAAATATGCTCTCAAATTTCATATATCTCAAAAGTGAGTACAATAGATGAGGAATTAATTTAAGTAGGCATCCGAAATTGCACAAGTTGGCCCCTAAACCAAAGCCCACATGTGGCGCCTAAAATTTGAATTCAAACTTGAAATTTGAATTCAAATTTTGGCTCCCATGTTCTTTGGCCATGAATTTAGGATTTAGGTGCATCTAAGTTTAATTTGAAGGTTATTTAGGGTTAATTTGAGTGGCACTGTAGACACCAAATTTCGTCCGGGGGGCACATAAACAAAGAAATGGACCTCCATTACGAAGGGAAGGGGCTTCCGAAGTAGGCAAACAACAAGACAAGACATCAGAAGGCCTAAAGGCCAAATAAGGTGGTTTCAGTAACCCGGAACGGGCCATTCCAAAATCGAAACAGGCTGTTCCAAAACTCAGAACGGGCCGTTCCAAAATCGAAACGGGCCGTTCTGAACCCGGAACGGGCCGTTCCAATATAAGAACGGGCCGTTCCAACGTAACTGAAATCAACTAAATATTTTGGGTGGAACGGGCCGATCCAATACCAGAACGGGCCGTTCCAAACAAGGCAAATCTGGAACGGGCCATTCTGGAAAAGGAAAATTTGTGTTACTTTCTACTCTGGAACGGGCCGTTCCGTTTTCAGAACGGGCCGTTCCAGGGTACGAAATTTACACATAATAATTGGGCCAGAATGGGCCATTCCGAAATCGGAACAGACCGTTCTGGCCCACTATTGATCCCTATAAATTGAAGTCTTGGGCCTATGTAACCTTAGTCTTTACAATGATTGAGTGTTTGGTCTGCTCTCACAGAGAGGATACATAAATTGATACACTCAAAACTAAGTTTCAGTAATATATTACCTGAAATGGTAATCTATTATCTGTCTTAATATTGAATTCTTTTGAATGAATCAAGTTTCATTTAATGTCAAAAAACTTTGTAATCTATTACCAACACTTGATAATATATTACATTATGTTTTCACATGAAATGAAAACATTGAGTTATGTTTACTAAAAGTTAAGTTTTTGAAATCAAACAATCATAACAAGCAAACACATATAAGTCTAAGACATATGAAACAATCAATACAATATCCTTTTAACATAGGCCAAAAATATAAAATGAAGCAAACTTAAACAAAGCTAAATCAAAACTAAAACTTCATCTTCAAAAAGCTCTTCAAAAGGGCTTTAGACTCAACAGATACAACATGTTGTATTGAACAACTTGAAATATATTTTTGATGCACAAGTTTGGCAGGTACAACCTTACCCGTCATAGAATGTGTAACATTCTATGATGGGTGAGGTCAAATTCGCCATAGAATGTGACATGTTCTATGTTGCATGTGGTCATACTCATCATAGTATGTGAGTGCCAATTTGATAAAATCATCACATTTGGTGCCTATATATTATGATAGACGTTGACCACTCGACATAAGAAGTAAATTTTCTATGTTGCGTGTTGAGTCGTCATAGAATATTTGAACATTCTATGTCACTAGAATCTATGTCGCATTCAGGACCAACATAGAATGTCCAAAACACCTAACATAAAACTCTTTCTCACACTAGTGAACATTGTTTATCTCCTTTATCCTTTCTTTTTATTATGAAAAAAATGGTATTTTGTAATTTTGTTGGATTAGAACAACTTTATTATATGATGGTGTAGGTTGGAGAAGTGGATGATCTTTCTTCTTTAGCCTTCATCGAACAACAAGGATCTCCTTCTTGTGTTTGAATCCGATTAAAGTAAGGAAGAAATTGAACTTCAATCAAGGAGAGATGTTCCTAAGCTACGAATGGAAGCATCCAAGCAAAAGAACCAAAGGAAAGTTCACACTCAAGTTTAGGAAAGGTGGATTTTCCTAGAACTAAGGCTAAGCATTTGGTGACTTTTAGGAGAGAATATAGTTGAAGCAAAGTCACAAATTCTCATATATGCAAAAGTGCATTACAAGAGTGAAGGTTCAAGCATATAAAGCCACAAATCAAGGGAATTTGGCGCCATCCCATGTGCACTCAAAGTGGCGCCAAATTTGAATTCAAATTTGAATTTGAATTCAATTTGGACGTCCACTTGCACCATGCCATGTGCAGGTGCAGCCCTCCCTTCTAGAATCCTAATTGCATTCAGAGGTAATTTAGGGTTCATTTAAGTGTACACATGTGCATCCACCTTTGGCACAAAACATGTGACTCAAATGAAACTCTAATTACTCCTAAATGTAATTAACATTCTATGATTCATGCTTAATACTTATTCCTTCTAAATTCCTATTCTAATGGCCTAAATACAATGGCCAAACAAATACAATGGAAAGGAAAAATTACAAGAATGAAAATGAGCCCAATATTGGGTACCAAAAGCCCAAAGGCCCATGAAGCCCAAAACTAGGCCCAATAAGCCTA